CGATGACTAGCTGCCTTCCCTCTAGTCTTACACTGCTAAATTAGGGACGGCTAGCGCAAATAACCCTCGTGTAGATTTACGCGAAATTCGAAAACTAACATTTTCATTAAGCTTGACTTAATGAAAACCTGAAGAATTTTCATGTTTCGACATATACGATTGTTTCACATTTTATAACTACGTCACGTTTACTGTTTATCATTAAAAATATACTTTATATCCAGAATAAGGTGTTTGTCACTAAACTTAACAATAAAAACTAAAAAGTAACTGTTAACATGTGTAAAATGAATGATTTTGTCGAGAACTCATTAACTGTTATACATAATATATGGTTAGAGGAATAGCATATGAATATATTTAATCAATAAAGACAAACTAGTGTAACATTAAGATTGTATGTTAAATTATTGTATGATATTTAGAGATGTTATCACGAAAAATCCGTCCTTTCTAGAATCTGCAAAAATTATACTAGTAAAATAAGCTAAAGTACTGTTGAGAACTATCCTAATATTGTCCTTAGTAGCATCATCTGCCTATAGTAACACTATCTGCCTAAAGAAACACTATCCACATTTGTAAGACGTACGCAATAAATAAGAGAAAACTATAAATTTGATTTAATGCTTCGCTTATAAAGCGAAACTGTGATTGTGATAAATAAATTTTCCTTATTGATAATTGTAAGCACAAAGTTATTTAAATTAGATTAAATTATTAATTTTAAGAAGTTCATTGTTACTATAAAGTTGATCTACATCACCCTTTGTTGATCACTCGCGAACTATCTGCACACTCATCATACCAACGTGTCGTCTCGTTCACATTGTGCGACTATCCTTCCCGGCATGGTATCTCTAGCAACGCACTCTCTTGCGGCAGGCAACTTCCGTCGTCAAGAATCATGATTGCACGTCAATTTCCGACTGTCATGGCGACTTAGCAACGTTCCACTAGCAATGCGCCCTCTGGTTCCACTTTATGAAACAATGGCGCAATCGCCTCTGGTGAGTGATACTAAATCATCATCGCCTCTACCCCTCCCCTCCCTCTGAGGCAACCAATCAACGTTTTTGCCTTAACAGACCTCTTAACTACTGTGGTTCGATCACCCGAGGTAGATAGAGCGCAGATAGTGTATTGTGTAGATATGCCATAAAATAACAAGAACAAAAAAGTATAATGAATATATAATTTGCTTAGTTTAATGGTATTGCTCATTACTCACCACTAATAACATAAAATACTTAAGATTTTGGATAACCGAATACCTAAGGAATTTTAGGTTATTAATGGTGAGTAAAGGACTACACACGTAAACCAAACAACCTTCTTAAATTCCACACTATATGATGCAGACTTTACTTGTTTCGCTCTTCCAAGCAATACAGTATTTTTCTCTCAAGAATAGATCTTCATTAGTTTTTAACCCATAAAACAGTAAGAAGTAGGCTTAATAAAGTGCTTTAGGTTTATAAAATTCAAACTGAACATTGTTTAAATAGTTTTATGACTGTTGGGGAGTGTGATATTCTCAGGTAGAAATTAAAATAATCAGTTAAGTATTATGTCCGCAAGTTTAGAGATATGGAGATTTGTATGCAGAGTTAGATTAAGTCAAACTAGACAAGAGTTCACATCGGATGGGGTCGAGGGCAGAAACCAAAAAATAAGAAAAAATTGCAAGATGAAACCAAGACAGAGATGAGAAAAAAAAGAAAGTCATAAAAATATTCAACTTTTATAAACAGACCAAAGCTATGTGTGGTATCCCACTTACATTGCTCTTCTATAGTATATCTTTCATATCTAAATTAATGGGTGTAAGAACTACGAGTTATCCACTTGCATTATAAATATTGTAGTTTGGATGACTAAAACTTCTGAGAATGAAGGTGAAAAATATAAGCTGGTATTTACTGTGGAAATATTATATCCGTAACTCTTTAACAATATAGCAAACTGTATATCTTTATTCAGGTATATCAAGGTAAAAGTTTTAACAATCTGTACCATTGCCAGTGTTTGGTTAGATAATGTACATGAACAGAATACACGGAACGACGCTAATGTTCAGGACCTGTACAACTGTTTTTGCTTTTGCTAGCGACTTGTACACGAGATGAGTCATTAATCCTTTCGTCTTGTTGTTTCAATAATTGGATACATGCAGTTGTATGGTATAGAAATATCATTATCTCTTTCCAGATTACTGGGACTGTTTTGTTTATGTCTGTGACGATTCTCTTTGTGAAGTACTGGCAAGGCTTAAAGTAAAGCATAGTTTCAAAAAAAAATAGTACCTTAATTCAAAATTGAATTTTTATGACTAACGAATGAAGTCGTATGAAACTATTTTGTGTCCAGTTGATCATAAATAGATATAGAAGCTGGCAAGACTAAAACAAGACTCAGATGTTTTCTTTCGTCATTTAATTAATCAATTAATATTTGTTTAGCCATATGGTAATAATACACTACCTTATTTTATCATACGAATAAGAAGAAAAATCATTGATATATAACTAATGGTACACTATCGATAGTAAACAACATGTAGATTTAGCTTAAATCACTTATTTCAAATATTTCAATATCTAACCTATATAAAAGCCAGTTGAGTCACGTCACGCTTGATTTCTCTAAATAGAAGGAGCGATAAAAGCCAAAATGCTTTTTCCAGTAATTATTGTAAAAATCAGTTAGTTTAACAACTTCTAATACATAGAAAAGCTAGTGCGTTTTGGTAATATTACATTCCAACAATGGTTTTTATTTCATGTCGCTAAGACCAAAGTATAATCTAATATTGTTGTTAGTCCAAGTACTGAAAATATGTATTGAAAACTGGTAAAATATTTGTTAATTTCTTGATTTAGAGTCCCCGTTTATTAAAGAGATTTTTTTTAAAATTAAAAACGTTGGTTATTTAACAGAAAATAGCTTAATTCAGAAACGATTTAACTTTAATATTTAATTAATATTTTTACTTTCATTATAAATGGTATGCACTTGGCTTTAAGCAAGGTGATCCCACACAACGTCTTTACTTTAGGCTTATTATAACAACAAACACAACACTTACAAGGTTTCTCGGCACCCCTTTTCCGCACGGTCCTCTTGCATCCCGTCACTAGAATCGTAGTGGACAGACAGTAATCGAACCATTCTCTTTTTAGGAATTTACCGACGTTTGACTGCCTCGAATACACTTTTCTGCCTCTTTGTTCGTCAATCTTGATTTTGCAAATTTATTTATTTCAGTTAACTATGAAATGTGAGGTTAGAATATACTATGGAGTTGGGTGAGGGTGGCTGTACTTGCCCGTCATTTTTGACGGCCTATACGCTAGTGAGGTAATATTTGACACTAGTACGCGGTCAAATCTAACCTTCTTAATTTTAAACTTGATGTTAAACATCTTAACAACACTTAAGGCTGAGGAGAGTTGAAAACCGCTTTATTTGATTGGAGACAAATCATGAGATCGAAATACAATTGAACAGCCTTAAAACACTTCTTGAAAATATCTGTGAAAGAGGGTAAATAAACTCAATACTTTTCAACATATTTCATTAGAATACTTCAAATATTTTTAAGTAAAATCAACATTACAATTTACTATTATAAGAACTGGAAAATTGAAATATAGATTAATAATATTGGTGAACCTTCTCAGTTTAGTATAAACAGACTTACTTATATAATGACAGATAGAGTGGAAGACTTAATAACTCGTAGGTGGCGTTGTACACGGGCAACACCAATACAGAAGTAAGAGTTTATACTTGTAGTTTGATTACAAGCAATCTCTGTATTTGCTTTACTACAAACTACTGCCTTCTCTCTCTCTCAGCTTACATAACAGTTAGCTTGTATGATTTCCGTTCATAACACTTAACAGATAGTAGGCTATTCAAAGACGACACAATGACCACCACACCAAAACTTTAGGATTCTATACTTTGACTTTCGATTCAATTTATGCAAAGTACAGTCCAAATAACTAGAAACAAGTTGTGATAGGCCTGAATTCAAGACTATTAGTTGTAAACGAACAAGTTTTACGAGTAACACGACCTGGATGTTTTGTTTTTTAAACAAGCTTCTGTTTATATCAAACCATATGAGCTCTGATGATACATT